TTCAAACGACTTCTCAATAACCAAAAGGCCCAGGGAACTGATATTGGGCCTGAAGCATGCTAGGATGAAGGGCTACCAAGTTTGTTCAAATGAATGACCTTGACCCACTTTTAAGGTCACAGGGGTCAAATGTCTTAAAATCTTCAAACGACTTCTCAATAACCAAAAGGCCCAGGGTACTGATATTGGGCCTGAAGCATGCTAGGATGAAGGGCTACCAAGTTTGTTTAAATGAATGACCTTGACCAACTTTCAAGGTAACAGGGGTCAAATGTTGTAAAATCTTCAAACGACTACTTCTCAATAACCAAAAGGCCCAGGGTACTGAAATTTGGCCTGTAGCATGCTGGGATGAAGGACTACCAAGTTTGTTCAAATGAATGACCTTGACCCACTTTCAAGATCACAGGGGTCAAAAATGTTAAAATCTTCAAACGACTTATCAATAACCAAAAGACCCAGGGTACTGATATTGGGCCTGTAGCATGCTGGGATGAAGGCTACCAAGTTTGTTTAAATGAATGACCTTGCCCCGCTTTCAACCTAATGTCATTGTTTGACATTCAAGGTCACAGGCGTCATATGTGTAAATCTTTTTATAGGTTCTTATGAATCAAACACTGATACTCTGCCTGCAGCTGTATTTTAGTCCACTTTTAAGATTACAAGTGTGAGATTAATACCAGGTGAGCGATGCAGGCCCATTGGGCCTCTTGTTTTTAAACTTGTTCTTTTTAAAGTTTATACATTAACCATCCCAGATAGCCCTATAGAGCGATGGTTATTCTTGTGTCGGAGTTGAGCAGAGCGATGTTGATCATGGTTTTTGGTTTTGTCATATGTATATATCAACACATTATATTGTGAATTAATTTGTATCTTTAAGGTTAAAAATTTCGCATGACCAGTGTAGATTGATATTTAAACAACTTAAGATTGACAATGTAGAAATTATCTGCATAGCCCACATGTTTGAATGTTTCAGTACCATGTCTACATAGTGCTAGAGTTGTTGAAAGGTGGAGAGCTACTCGACAGGATACGGAAAAAGAAGAGTTTCACAGAGCCAGAGGCTAGCGAAATCATGTGGAAGCTTGTAAAGGCTGTACATTTCATGCACTCTAAAGGTGTGGTACATCGTGATCTGAAACCGGAGGTAGGCTGCTCAAAATGTTTCTAATATTGTTGGAAAGGGGATACATTTGAGTATCATAATTTCCTGCTTATATCTAGCAGAACATACAGTTTTTACATCTGGGATGCGGGTTCGAGGCCTACATGGGGCAGTCGCCAGGTCCTGGCAGCAGGTCGGTGGTTTTTTCTATAGGCACTCCGACTTTTCTCCACAACCAAAACCTGGCACGTCCTTAAATGACCATAGCTAACCAACCAAACAAACCAATTTTACATCTGAAAACGCCTTTTGTGGACTAACTGGTGAAATGGGATATCTGATTAATGATATAGTATTATAATATAATACGTAATGATTTTGATTACAGGAAATGTATCCAAACTGCTATAGCTTCCACAGAACCTGTTTCAAGATGTGTCAGAACAGTAAATATACGTATTGTGTCAGAGCTTGTACTCTACTCACAGGAAACATTTTCTAACTCCACCTTATTGTTACTCAACAGAACCTGCTGTTCCAGGATGCAACAGAGACAGCCAACATAAAAATTGTCGACTTTGGATTTGCATGTCGAAAACCTGAAAAGCAGATGATGCAGACGCCGTGTTTCTCACTGCCATATGCTGCACCTGAAGTCCTGCCAGGGAAAATGCTGCCTCGCGATGGCTACGACGAGTCATGTGACCTGTGGAGTCTTGGTGTTATTTTGGTAGAAACCATACTTTTCATACGTTTTGGCAGTCTAGTATTTTGCCTTGTTACTACTATAGGAACTTAATTGCAAACATAAAAGTCCAGAAAAATGAATCTATATGTGCTTTTTGGCTAATCTGTGAATAGTTAAACCATTGAATAAACCAGTATACAGTAATTAATTACAGTGGAGCATCATCTATATGAAATTCACTAGATTGTGAAACTGCTGGACAATTTTTTTTTTTTTTTTTAAAAAGGAAAATACCCCAAAACACAGATTGGATAGTCATGGGTGGCTGGAGTAGTGCATCTGTAAGGCACTTATTGTTTCTTCTGAATGTTTTCAGTACACTATGCTGTCAGGGAAGGTGCCCTTCCAAACCAGAGGCAAGGCAGATAACGCCAGTGCTATCATGAATAGGATCAAGGTGGGAGAGTTTGATTTCTCTGGAGCGGAGTGGGACGATGTATCACAGCCTGCTAAGGCTCTTATACAAGGTACATGTGAGCCACTCACCCATGATACAGTTTTATCCAAGTATTGAAACCGATCAAGATCGTATTAGTTACAGTTTGATTTGCACAAAAAAAACCACAAAAAAAATATGTTCACATTACTTTTTTGCAAAGGTTTCGAAGAGAAAATTGATCAAAAGCAGATATATATCTCTTATCTCAATAAATACTTAAATACTGTAAAAACATAATATTTCGTTGGGGATTTAATTTCGTTTGTTTTGTGGTATTACAAAAACCACAAAATATAATCCCAACGAAATTTTAAGCACACGAAATATAAACTAAATGAAAATATCAAACGAACTATCAATTTAATAACAAATCCATGCTGTAGTTACATTTAGACACAAGTCATGATAAACGATGTAATTACTGTCACAGGTTTACAACATTGTTACACAGTTATAATTACATCGCTCTTTGTATGTAAACTATAGAGCATGACGGATTAGACCAATACCCATCGAGTGAGTTTATCTCGCCCGGTCTTACCTGTAGCTGGCAAACCGTACCGTAAATCAACTTGTATAGAAACAATAAAAAAAACACTAAATGTTCCCATTTTAATAATCAAATATTCTATTCAACGAAAAGGATGTACAGTGGAATCTGTATTAAATGACCACCCTAGGGAAATTAAAAAACCCGGTCGTTTAATAAAAGTGGTCGTGTATTAAAGTTTGACCATAGTTTGTACAGAATTACACAACCGACTATAACCAAACGACCCCTTATTCCGACAACAACTGTAAACAGACCACCACCTTAAGTACACATTTACACATGTATGAAAAGATAGTTTAAAACAACATCGTTCTACAGATCAGGTGAATAACTAAACAATAGGCGAGTGATAATTATGACAGTATACAAACAACTAAGAGTGTTTGAGAATAATTGTCATTTCACTCAGAACAAACAATCGCTGGGGACTTGTTAAGGTTCTCAATTTTCACGACTGTTTTTGGTAATTACCATGAGTTAAGCTAACTTGTTGCGAAAGATATTGTGTTGAAATGATAGCGGTTCCTGTGGTGGTCCAACAGATGGGTTCACTTGAATTGTTCCTTTATTTTACGGTTGAAGCTGGAAAGAGAATCCAGTTAAAAAATTTACCTAAATAAAACCGACAATATATTGCCGAAAAACGGACCAGTATTATTGTCGTTAGTACTTTGGCGTTGAGAAGTTCAGGGATGTTATTAAAATAAAGGCGTTTAATGTTGATGAGGAATTAAAAATGATATGTGTGTTAACATAAATATATTTAGTGCGGAGTTGCGCTGATATTTAATGTTAATTTCGCGCAAGAGTGCTGTCGTAAACATCTCTAACTAGACTCGACTTCAAGAATGAAAACCTGCCAGTGTACTTCATCCAATCAGATGGAGGATATCATAGGGTTAAAGGTTACATTGCCTAGCAGGACACTCGCGCAATCAAAATGGTTTTGCTCAACTGCGATAAATACCAGTCCGTAATTTCACTGCTAAATCAACAATATCGGCAGTTAAAAATATATATTTTTATTTGTTTCTGCACATCAATGAATTTAGTATAAGTTTGGAAATTTGTTTTGTCAAATTTGTTCACTGAACTTTGTGAAAAGAGCGTTAAGTAGCCCTTCGTCAAATGTGGTGACGGTTGCAAATTTGGAGTTACACGACTATTTCAACGACCGTTTCGTATATTTTCGTCAAACATGGTCGTTAAAATGTATCAAATGTTTAACGTAATTTTTTGGGTCAGTATTTGGTGGTCGCTGGTCACGTAAGACAGATGGTCGCTTAATACAGTTAAATTACATAGTAAAAATGGTCGGGAGGAATGAAAAGTGGTCGCATAAAGCAGATGGTCGTTTAATACAGATAGTCGCTTGAGCAGATTCGACTGTATAGTGAAAATAAAGCAGTCGTCGTCAGTTAAATTTGGATTGATTTCCGGAACCATGCTGTCCCGACGGCATGCCTCAATTTTGACACTTTTTCAACAGAGACACGGAATGAAACTTCTAATGAAATAGAGAAACTATTGCTTAAATGTTCATTGAAATCGGCATGATTTTCTCACATGATGTATCAAGATAACCGTGAATATTTATGAAATGCATGCTCGCTTTCTAATCAGAATTTGTGTTATAAAATGTTGGTAGGCCTAATTATTTCCATTTTAGATAGCTATTAACTACCACATAAGTTTGTTTCGACTAAATTATATGACCATCAAGCGATGGTCGATCTCTTGTTTTCCTCTTACTGGGGTGAAGCGAGGTGTGAAAAATTCATTTGTAGTGGACAGGTGATCACCTCGGGTGATGTAAAGTTAGCCGGACCTATTGTCTTATTGTCCAGGTGTTAAACAAAAAATACAGGGTTTTAAAATATTGATTCGACGAAATATAATCCCAACAAATTTGTCCCAAAACAAAAACAAGAGGCCCAGGGGCCTTACTAGCTCACCTGGTATTTTATTTTCAATTTAAAACCTGCTGAGTACCATACAGGTTTATCAAAGGAGTACAAGGAACAAAGTTTCAAGAAGAACTACATGTAAATCTGTTTTGGTGGGAAAGACACCAAGAAAATGAGTTTCCATGTTATGTCCCAAGGAGGTAGCCTCCAGGGATTGGTTTGGACCTCCGGGGGGGGGTCTTTTCCCAAAGATGCGCTAGAAGAAATTTGATGAAAATCCCTTCATTAATAAAAAAAAAATAAAAAAAAAAGGAGAAAGATTTTCAATTTTCCTCTATTTCCCCTATTTGGCCTCACATGCACCTTTTTATACAAATTGAACAAATAAGATTTTTTCCCCCTAAGCATGCTTCAGACCACATTTGGTTTAAATCTCTTCATTTGTGCAGAAGGGAAAATATTTTTCTCTATTTCCCCTTCCGGCCAGGTGAGCTAACAACGAAATTTAACCTGAAAGAAAATATATGCTTTAACAGTATTTTATTTTGTGATCAACTACCCACCCCTACAAAGAAATTCCAAGGTTATTTCTATTTTATGATTTTTTTTTATCTGATCAATTGTAGGTATAACCAGTATCAGATCTGACTAACATCTGACAGCCTTTGGGATGTATTGTGTGCTGGATTAAAATAATATCTATGTATCGTATTTACAGGTTTGCTGACAGTAGAGCCGAGAAAGAGGCTTACGATGGACAACCTTCTACAGATTGAGTGGTTAACCGGAAATAACAGTGAAGTATTTTCTGCCACCCCGTTGCGTACCCCTGGTGTGCTGTGTCAGAGCCTGGCAGTACACCAGCAGCTCAGTGTCACCATGGGTGCCTTCCAGAAAGCCACACGTGAAGGCTTCCGCCTGCAAGACGTTAACAAGGCCCCACTAGCACGGCGTAGGAAGGACCGTGATACCCGGAAGAACAGTTCTGGTGGAGAGCCCCGCAGTGGGTCGTCGGACAGTAATAATTCTAGCAGTTCGTCAGGAACTATACAGTCTGATAGCACATCACAGTCAGACTCCACCCCTCCAGACTTACTGGCAGATCGGGGCTTGATCAGTATTCCAGTCAGGAATCTATCAGATGTGTCAAACGGCTCCAATACCTCACAGGGCTCCACCTATAGTACAGGGTTCGTGCCCAACAATAAAGGACAGATAACTCTAGCTGACGACTCTGGTCAGCTGACACAGGTGCTTGACAATAGCCAATCCAGCTCCATTCTGATTCGCTCACCCTCGACTGAATCTGATGATGCGACACAGCTATTCCAGGCATCCCGTGGTACCAAACGGAAACACGATAGTTTGGGAGAGAGTGGCTGCAGCAGCAGCTGTGATGCGGAGGAAGATGATGACTGTGTCATAATGGTTCCTACCACGGATGTACTCACTGTCACTCTAGACTCTTGCTCAAAGGCCAGTCCTATCGTCATTGACGACTAGTCCATTAGGTTAAAAGTCCTGTTGATCTGAAAGTGCTTATCTGACAGAGGATATTTACAGGTATTGGTGTGGCAACTTGTAATGCCGTTTACCCGAAAGAAGATACTTGATAATCTAATGTTCTTCACCTGATGGCCTTGTAGGTGCCTTACCAAGACCTATATGTAGCAAAGTTCAGCAGGCTTCTTCCTTTCAAGCTACTTGAAGGTTCAGCAGAGTGAAGGTTCAGCAACTTACTAGTTATTTGAAGGTTCAGTAGTCTTCTACCTACCTTAAAGTTCAGTACTCTATCCTTCAAGCTACAGGAACGTTCAGTACTCTAGCCTCTTAGCTACCTAGAAGTTCAGTAGCCTTTAGCTACCTGAAAGTTCAGTACACTAGCCTTTTAGCTACCTGAAAGTTAAATAGCCTCTCAGCTACCTGAAAGTTCAGTAACCTTTAGCTACCTGAAAATTCAGTAACCTTTAGCTTCCTGAAAGTTCAGTACTTTAGCCTCTTAGCTACCTAAAAGTTCAGTACTGTAGCTTTCCTGCTACCTAAAAGTTCAGTACTGTAGCCT